TTGGTATTATTAATTCGGAGCAAAACTCCCTCAACTGGAAGTATTATTGTGATTTTCAGTTCACAAACCTGCAACAGTAAACATCAGTTAAATGACGTACATTAACTGCAAGTACAACACTCCTCCAGCTACTCCAAGCCATGACATGCGACACGTCACCGCAAAGAAAATCTGACAGAAAATATCCCATCCACATCTCTGATCTGTCAGCGCAAGGGAACAATTAATTGCAGTTGTAAAGTATTTTCTTTCCTCGTGTAGATCAACAATGTCTTTGGCAATTAGCCTCCCACCGTCTCCCTGAGGGCTGAGGCCTGAATCCTGCATGTCACCCTCTTCACATAATGAAGAGACAGCGGGTGTCATGTCTGGACTTGGCAATCTGCTACTGACATGAGAGTTAGAGTATTAAATGGACTAACTGCTGGCTTTACCGTCGAGGAACACCGGTGTCTGAGCCCAATGATTACCACGGCCCCAAACAAAAATGACATTTGTCTGACAATAAAATTGGATACTAACCTGTCTGAAAGCAGTCTCCATTTGCCTAGAACAAACGTTGGCAAACAGTTTGACACACTTTCCCCTTGAATGCATAGAGAAGGCGAAGCCATCCTTTGGCTCACGGTAATGGCCCCTCATTGTTGGCCACAGAGGATGTGGCGCTATTCATACCGGTGGATGATTGAAAAGAAAATTGAATCCCTTTTGATGTGATAAATGTGTCTATTACTGCATTTGCACACAAAATGTCGGTGGAAATTATAGTGGGGAGGCAGGGCTCAGAGGAGAAAATACATAGGGATGGCATATTGGCTAGCTTTGATTGGAGCTGAAATATAAATATACTGTACCGGTAGATGTAATGAGTCCAAGCTCCCTGATTTTTCCACAGGAACTTCACAAATGAAAGGCCTTGACAGCCCCAATTGTAAGACTATATAAAAAGGTTAAATGTCTGGATAGCTCTCTCTCTCTTTTTCTCTTCAAAGAGCTGTTTGATAAAGGACACCAACAACTGTTTGCCTTGTAATAAAAGGGAATTTTCTCTTTTCAAAAACTTTTGAAAGACAGCAAGAAGCCTAGAGAAGAAAGAAGCCAGGTATTTTGTATTGCATAAAGTGTTGCACTGTGAAGGACAAATTCATTTGAAATTGTTAAGACAGTTGATGAAGTGTGATGAAGTGAAAATGTTCTCTTAGTGGAAGATAAAATCCCCTTTTTTTGCCATTTTGTAAACATCTGGAATGCAAATATAATAGTGACAATAATAATAATAATAATAATAATTATTATTATTATTATTATAAATAATTGACAAATAACACTTTTTTTTTCAGTTGGCCATGTGTACAGTTTCTAAATTCATTGGCATCTCATCCAAATATTGAAGTAGTATTAGTATTAAACTAATGTTAACAATCTGACAATTCTTTATGAAGGGTCGCTTGAAGAGTTTACACTAAAATAACTGAGTACTCTGAATGAACTGGAGAAACAAACAAACAACTAAATATTACCTGAAAAACAATGATTTATTATACATTATACATTACACGAGAGAGGAAAAATGTTCTGTAGCCATTTTTTTGTTGTAAAATGGTCTGAAAATGGTGTGCTAAGTAAAGTTTTAAAGGTCCAGTGTGTAACATTTAAAAAGCTATATTGGCAGAAATAGAATATAATCTTCATAGGTATGTTTTTATTAGTGAATAATCACCTGAAAATAAGAATTGTTGTGTTTTTGTTACCTTAGAATGAGCCATTTATATCTACAGATGTCGCCAAACAAATGAACTAAAATATAGACCACAAAACCCAACTCCGTACATACACAGCCTTTATTTGTATTTTAAAAACCATTATTCCACCAGAAAGACTCTTATGTAGAGTCCATGCTAATGAATGTAGCCTTGAATGAGACTTCTGAAGAAATGTTCAATAGAATGCATTGCAATCTTATCTCATTCAGTTTTACTCATAATTGATCAAATAACCAGCTAACCCCATAATGGTTCTATATTGGACAGCCCCATGGAACAAGGCAGGTAAATACATGCTATACAGTAGATTTTAGACAGTTTTCATTTAACTTCTTTAACATTGCTTTGTTATAATAAATAATCATATCATTAACTCTGTTTGACAATTCAAACATATATATTTTTTTATATATTATTCCTAAGTTGTCATACGTGTCAGTATAAATGTTACACTGCTTGTTTTTTGGGGTATAAAAAAAGAACTAAAACATGTTTTTTTCTGTATACAACAACCATCACTGAGTACATTCCATGTCCTCCAATTTATCCAAACAAAGGTGTAGTTCACATTTGCAAAGGTAAGGATGCTGTTTGTCCACCACTTTGGTCCAGACTCAAATATCTCAACTACTACATGTATGATGATCAGAGGATGTATCCTACTGACTTTGGTGGTCCCATGACTAATCCTCTAGTGACACTGTTGTTTTGGTTTTTATAACTATTAAATTGATTGTCATGAAATTGGGTACAGATGTCGAATGAATCTGATTTCCAAAAATTTTTTAACAACTGTATACTACTTTGGGGGGAAGTGACCACAGAACTTAGACTTATTAGCAACACTGTCAGTTTTCATTACTTATTTATGACAACCTTCCTGCTGAAAAAGAATACCTCCTGGCAAATATTTTACGATGTCTACACTGCCTCTAAGGAGACCATTGGCACGTCACTGCAATGCTGCTAATGTTGGTTTTCAACTGGATGAACATAAATAGAGAAAGGGAATCATGAATTAAAAGTTAAAACTGTAAACTTGTGTTCCTTTTTATTATTATTGTTTAATTGTTTTTGGAGGGGGGCAAAGAAATTTTGTTAGACTGATATGATGTTCTAGGCTCCTGGGTTAATATCAGACATTAAGCTATAGCAGATAAAGTGAGAGTCAAAACAGGGTGCAAACAATAAATCTATTCAGTATTGTTTTGACAAGCAATAGTCAGTAATGTGGTAGTGTCAAAAATGCCCAAGCTTTGTGCAGCAATGGGCTGTAATAACAGGAACACGTTGACTGTTTTATTTCCCAAAGAATCCAGACCGATAAGTCATACATTAGATAGTTATGTTAGCTACTGTCACATTTAATACCAGCTGAACAAGCTAGCTGGTGTCATTTTGCCATCTTTTTTTATAGGGCATATTGGCCCAGATAAATAACCAGTAACACTAACCTGACTCTTAATCAGTGGAAAAAGCTTTTCAAAAATAAAACTATATTTGTATTCAGTCTTTTTCTGAACAAATGGCTTGGGGCTGATAGTCACAGACTGGGTAGGAAAGTCAAAAATAATATTTTTCTTGTCTTTTGATGGGATTTGTTAAATATAACACAAAATACATAATATCACCAGCCATATCCTTTAAAAATGGAAAGTTGTGACCATTTGAATTACTATTTGTGCCAAATGATCCTTTATCCAGAAATCTTGGAAATGTTTTGTAGTGGTTTCCATAAGAAGGAAAAGCTGATTATTAAATGTTGCGATCCTCTCCTCTACTATTCTCCTTCCTCTCATTTTATTTCCACATTTTGTTGAATAGCTGGTTCTATTGCTTAAATGACTACAGCGAAAAATCCCCATAATCTAGGCAATGTCAAGCAGTCAAGAGAAACTCCAGCAACATTAACTCAGTTTTGTTACTCTTTCATGCTGCCCTCAACACAACTGGTACTTTGTTGATCCTTTCATAAATGATTCATTTTCAAGGCTCAAAGGCCCAAATGTTAATGTCTGCATATTAACAATCATGAACAACATGAAAAAAGAGAAGCCAGACATACAGTAAGTGAATCTGTCTGAGATGTGTCATAACAGTATATTTGGGAATGCATGGGTTATTGTGTGCCACCTCTTTTTCAACCAGCCCTCTTGTTCAGCTGTACTTGAGAGTTACATGCAGTAACCCGAACACTGACTCCGCTACTCTATACTACTCTATTCTACTGCCTGACCCTTACATTTTTAATCGAGACACTCATCTCTCTTTCAATACACAACATCTTTGATGATGAGACGCTCTTTGATGGCAAGTGAATTTCATTTGCGTCTAAAAGCTTGCAAAAGTATTCGGTTCAAGATGATCACCACATTCGTGACTTCTAGGCAATTACTGTAATGATGCAAAATGGTAAACATTGGCCCAACATCTAAATAATTTAACAGACTGAAAACATGCTGCTCCAATGTTTATGAAATTCGTTTTTTGTGTTTACACAGTGATCATGTTGAAATGTTCCATGGCATTGAGCTAGCATGAAAGGTCATGTTTGACTGAACTAATTTTATGATATTTAAATGGGTCCTCTAGATCACAAAATGACTTGGGTTAGACAATAGACATTTAAAGTATTTGCTGCTGCACACAGGCCAAATTTAATGCATCTGAAAATTATTTGGAGAATCATAATTCATCATATTGGGTTGATTTTTGTCGCATGCCTACTTTTTAGCTTAAACGATCTTCAACAAAGTAAACTGTAACTTAAATTCTGCATTGGGACTTGCTGTAGTGATGTTTGCAGCCTGCTCAGTTTTAATGTTAGAGCAGCGTGGTGTGGCATCAGGTATCAGAGAGCTGTGCTGAAACTGACAGCAAAGAGAGCTCAGTCTTGCGAGAGAAAATATGTGTTGCAATTCATTGAACACTTAAAAAAATGTTTTTATTTAAGTAGTAATTTTAAGTACATTTTTAGTCTTTATTTTAGGTTATTCAATTTATATTTACAGGCATACTATATGGTTAAATGTATAACTAACTACAAGTAAAATATGGTCTGGTTTAATAAAGCAAAACTTTAATCATCATGCTTCATTACAGAGTTTCAAAATCAATGTTTTCTCATTGAATTCTGTTTTACATTACAGGTGCCTGTAGCAGGGCTCAGATCCCTGGTTAATATGTAAACTCTGCAACAGTGGGGATGAAAATGCCCATAGGAACATTGGCCCCTGATAAGCAAGGTAGGCTGCTGAGTCACTGGACACACAAGTGGACAATTTCAGTGACCTCCAGATAGCACTGATGGTTCTTGAATTGTTCTGACAGAGCAGATCGTAGAGCTCTGTCTCTTATGTCTTCCCCTTTTAAGTTTGTTTGGATGATGTTTTGATGAACTTTTGGGTCTGGATCTCAGCTGGTCTTAGAACACAGTAGGACTTTATTCTGAAAGTTTCTAAACAAATTCTGGACTTCAATATTTTTCAAGGTAAAGTCTCTTCTGAGATCTAAATTCTCAAAAATACTTCAGATCTGCTTTGTTAAAAATGGACAGTGAGCCTGGTGGTGCAGGGAATCAGCTTCTCCATGTTGACATCCATATTGATCAGCTGGAACCTCGTTGTGGAATCCTGGACCTCCTGAGAAGACTTCGTCCTCATTGGAAAGCGCAGGACATTCAGATGAAGGCAAGTGGATGTTTGTGTCTCTGGGGTAATTGCTATCCACATAAAACAGCATTGCATCTCAATATACAGAGTTATTTGTCCATGCTGAGCGGCTGTGGCTCAGGAGGTAGAGCAGGTCATCCACTAAGCAAAAGGTTGGCGGTTTGATCACTGGCTCCTCCCGCTGTATGTTGAAGTGTCCTGAGCAAGAACATTTACCATGATTGTATTTCTACATTGATTTTACTAAAGGTTGGTTGTCTGAAGCAGATACATTTCTATTGTGACTTGAATTCATATGGATCCTGTGTTCACCTTTTATTACACTGCTGTTGGCACCTTTTTGTAAAGACAAAGTCAGGCAGGTTAGAGTTTAGTAACATGACTGTGCCAAATGGTTTTCTTACACAGATCCGTCTGGGAAGTTGTCATCAGAAACTATTTGGAAAAGGTCAGACACTTTCAACAGTTGGCAGGTGATTGGATGAATCATCTGTCCATCACCATCTAACTTCAACCAATTCAATCAATGAACCATATAATGTAGTCAAACTCTTACCGAAGTCAGTTGGGAGAAGAGAGAAAACATCTTTTCCTTCAAGAGAAGCCTTCAGTGCAATTGCTTGCTCTTCTCTTTCTCTTCCATCAAGAAATACTATATATATCTATATATATAGATATAACTGATGCTAGCAACATCGACCCTAACCTCTTACGCAGCTGCTATTGCTGTTATTGAATGCTGTAGCTGCCAGTAGTTCCTCATAAGATGCTGATTGGCATGTTACCACTGTAGTTCTGTTGGGATCCAAGGATACTTTTAAATATGAACTTGCTCATTTGAAGTGTTTAACTGGACCAAAGGGAGCATGTTGA